AAATTCAAAAACAAACAATCATTATGGTTAACTCTATTTCCGGGATAAAAAGGTTTCAAGCTTAGTTTTAGAGTAATTGTCAAACGTCATATAATTATACTTTTAGTTCTTTCTTTATGTGCGACAGCTTTTTCTCAACAGATAACACTACTAGACTGTCTGAATACTAATTTTTAGGAATTATTTGTCGTAAACTTTAGAGGAAAAGAAAATATTAAAAGATCAGTGACAAAAATAAACGATGCGATTACATTTTTTTGCTTTCGATATTTTTTTATTTCCACAATTTCAGTCCTTCCAACTGTTTAAATAAAAAACACGAAACACCTTAGATTAATGAAATAATAAAACAAACAAAAAAATTGTTGCTTTTAATAAATCCATAATACCAACAGCATATAATGTTTCACACTCGTAAGTCAAATAAGAACCATTTCCTACATCTTAAATCAGTTCTTTTTTATTGATATTTATTAAAGAAAAACTATTAGTATCCCGAAAATCGGTAAATTGGAATTTTTGAATTAAAAACCTCATCAAATCATACCAAATTCAAGTTCGATTAAACTTCGTTAATTATTATGATTTTGCCCAATTTTACAGCTTAAGTTATCCACAAACAGCGTCAATATTTTAACAAACCTGCACTTAAATACGAATACCAGTTATTTTTGACATAATTCCTGCAAGGTGGCTAGTCCTTTGTTTTACATTTCTGATGATGATAAATATTATTCGGGTAATGTCCAGACTGTAACCTACTTTAAGTTGTAATCAATAATCGAAATCAGCTAAGATTGAACTTTGTTTTAAACTCAATTAAAGCAATCTCTTAATTGATTAAAAAACTGACTTTTTATGGGCTTAACGACAGTGGACGCTAAACTTTTTTGTTCTCTCAAAGATTCCAATAAAAATTGCTTCACCAATACTAACGTAGGTTAAAGTTTGAAAAATAATGAAATAGCAGTCTCCAGTAATGATGCATTACATACTAATAAAACTAAATATATACACACATCACATGATAACAAAGCTTTTAAATAATTCTGGTTATACGTTTATAACAATCTCACTAGATCATAAAATGAACTAAAATTAATTTAGGTAATAAATAATCTCATCCATGCAACAATATTAAAGCAAAAATTAATGTTATTAAACTACTTTTGCATATTTAAATCTAGATTAAACAGCAAATACGTTTATTCGTAAATGCATGCATGACAAAATATGACAATCACAGCAAAGAATGGCCATGCAGTTGTGTAGATGTTTTACGTATCTCCTAGCGAATCCACAATGTTTAACAGATAAATAATGTTAAGTAGACTTCTAGCTCACTACCTTGCTCATTTTTCTTTACGATGGTATGATATGAGCCTTCCAAATCCACTTCGATTAATCTCGTCGAAGTTTCGTTTTCTCAGTCTAAGGCTCTCAGCCTCGTAAAAATGATCGTTACCCAATTCGTCAATCCAGTTGTTTTTAAGTAGACTTCTAGCTCACTACCTTGCTCATTTTTCTTTAAGATGGTATGATATGAGCCTTCCAAATCCACTTCGACTAATCTCGTCGAAGTTTCGTTTACTCAGTCTAAGGCTCTCAGCCTCGTAAAAATGATCGTTACCCGATTCTTCATTGTCAACCCAGTTGTTTTTGTCGAAGGCAGAACGTTTACTAAATTCTTTAGATCCAGCCCGATCGATTTCGTCCAAGCTTCGTTTATGAAAATCGTTAAATCCAGCCCGATCAATTTCGTCAAAATTTCGTTTATGAAGTCTGCCAAATCCAGCTGTGTCAACTGCGTCAAGACTGCGTTTCAAAGAAGTTCCGGTAAGTGCTCCTCTTCTTCGAAAGATATTGAATGATAAATGATGTTTATGTCCGTGAATATTTGTTTTGGAGTCTCCTTTATCCTGTAATAAAAATACCGTAATATTTTCAGGAAATTTAAACCATGAAATTTGAAAAGCAATTAAAGAACTGCATATGACTTTTAAAATTTAAGGTTAAGCTAATATTATAATTTCTATTTCTAGAAAGGGAAATTCAAGATATGTTAAGGTATTATCGTTTGCTTCAATTTTGACTTATACACCTTTTGCAATATCACGTAAAGCAAAACACTTATTAGGTATTGTTCCATTATTATAGATTCAGTAACAGATTTTTGGAAAATTCATAGTTGTGAAATCTTCTTCTGAAAACATTTTCGAAAGATCAATAACATTTGTGATGGCCGGGTGGTTAGGGCGCTTGACTCGCAATCTGAGGGTCGCGGTTTCGAATCCTCGTCCCACCAAACCTGCTCGCACTTTCACCTGTGAGGGTGTTATAATGTAACGGTCAATTCCACTATTCGTTGGTAAAAAGAGTAGCCTAAGAGTTGGCGGTTGGTGGTGATGACTATTTGCCTTCCCTCTAGTCTTTCACTGCTAAATTAGGGTCTGCTAGCGCAGATAGCCCTCGTGTAGCTTTGGGCGAAATAAGAAACAAACCAAAATATTTGTGATTGTAGCGATTTTTAAGTTAACCTACGTTGTGTGTTCTTGAATACGTTCTTCTGCGAACAAGCCCAACAGTTTTGGCGCTAGCAGGACGAAACTTGACAGGCAGGCTCGAGGTGTTCTGTGGAGTGTTGTTCTTTTCATGGCACAGCCCACAACCCTTATTTGTTTCAAGATATCGAAAAGGGGAGGGGTAAAACTCGCCCAGAAGGTCACCCGCACATGATGAGGTTCAAGGAGCAGGATTGTAGAGTCGCTAAATTAGAATATGGCATTGTATTTTGTCGTACTGTTTCCCACTCGGGATCCCGGGAGTGCTATTTTAAAAAACTGTGTTCATACCACCGCTTACAAACGAGTTAAAACATTTCATGAGAAGAGTAAGATTTAGACTTACTTTCACAAACGAACTCGGGAGATTTAACTCAGATCTTTAATATTCTTACATATTTGAATGAACTACCTATGAAATGTACTTAGGAGTAGTACTGTAGAATGTTAGGGGTTGAAAAAAAACTTGAATGTCAATGAAAACATAAGAAAAACCAAGGTTACAGAGAGACAAATGGAATATTGAGGTCATACAAAACCAAATGGAGCATATCCATACACCAATCTAATATATGTTGAACAGAACTCAAGCTAACTAGAAATACAAACTAGCGGGACCAAACTTGGCATCCTTGCACAAGTACCCCGAATGGGTACCCTGGCGGTTTTTCACATACCCCCCCCCCCCCTTCGGGTAGCTATTGAACTAATTGTAGATAATGGAAGAGCTTGATCGGTAAAAGATTGGGCCTCTTTGTGTCATGAGGGGTTTTGTGGGGTTTTTTTCAACTCTCTAGTGAAGCTCGGTTATTTTATGCTATTAATGGCAAATACATTTTGCTCAAGAGTCATACTGTTAATAATAATTAGGTTAACATACGTGCAATGGCAACTAATGTGAAAATTCAGTTCCACACAACTATTTCACGGATTTACATTGTCATGTTTATTTCAAGTTAAGCACAAAATTACACACTGGGCTATCCGTGCTCTGCCCACCACGGGTATCAAAACCCGGTTTCTAGCGTTGTAAGTCCACAGATCTTGTCTACATTGTCATGACAGTAGTAATTAACTTAAGCACTTTTAATTCAGTCACCGATTCTTAATCTTAAGTGGTGCTGGTTGGAAATAAAACTGTACAGTTACTGTCAATTTAAGGTCATCGTATTAATGCTAATTTAGTGTAAAAAGTGTGTCAAACACTTTACATTATTTCCGTTTTCCAAGTAACCACATTGGTGATTTCCAAGCAATAGCAACCAAATAATGATATTTTCGTAACATAATACGTAATTACGCATTGAATGCAGGTGTGCCATTTTACTTTGATTAGTAACAGGAGTTCGCCCCCTATTGGCACGTTGGTATGTCTTCGGACTTAAAACGCTAGAAACCGAGTTTTGATACCCGTGGTGGGCGGAGCACAGGTAGCCCATTGCGCAGCTTTGTGCTTAACTACAAACAGAAGTTTTACAGTTTTACAGTCGTCCAAACGATGAATCATTTTTTATGTTCATAATGCTATATGAATCAGAATGGAAAGTTATAATATTTTGCTTATTTAGTGTTACAATGGATTACAGTACCGATAAAAAAATGTATCTGCGTGAACTAAACATATGCTAAGTGCTATTTATATATACCTTAAAGGGACAAGAGCAATCTGAGAAAAAAAAATATATTGTTCATTTGAGGCATTATGGGAAATACTTTGAGATACTCTGATGCAATTTATGCGATATTTTGGAGTCACTAACGGTTGGTTATACAGGTAAGTCAACCTCTGCAAAACGGGAGATGTTGAAAAAAATATTTTAAGATTTCGCTCTTACTCAAATAAAATATACAAATGCAGCCCAATCTCAGTCAAACAAATTTAATTGTTGTAGACTGGAAGCACTATCAGAAAAATTAAATTATTCTATTAAAATATCCTAAATGGTAACTGAAAATGAAGAATTCTATTCAATTTCCACACCAATATTTATTGTCATTCCATCTAGAATGCAGAAGGTAAAACTATAAAGAAGAACAAGACAAGAAAATACATCTCTTAACACCTACATCATATTTCAACTTCATCAGTGACCCGATTTCAAACCTTCGACAAGCATAAAATAACAGAGAACTAGCGTTTCTTCACCAAGTAGCCTTGACCTATAGGTTACATATTGTCTCAGTCACGAAACGCTTTGTGTTCTCATTCAGTCAATGGGAGTCTCATAACCTCACTCAGTCAAGCGATGCTTAGTTTACTCAATCAATCAAGGGACGTCTAGTATCATCATTTAATCAAGCGATGCTTACTATCTTCACTCAATCAAACGACATTTAGTAAAACTATGTCAGACAAGAAATGTTTAGTAAGCCCAATCATTCAATAAACGCTTAAGTACTATGTCAAGCAACATTTGGTAATCACTCTCACTCAAGAGATGTTTTACGATCTCATTCAGTCAAGAAACAATATGCAACTGCAGCCTAACATGTAATTTTTTCGTTTAGCCTTCTTTTAACTGCTTGTTTAAGTTTTCAAGATACACTTGTTTAAACAATATCGTTACTTTCTCTCCAAGAAAAAGTTAAAAAGTGTATATAAATACAGTTTTTGTATAATCGTACGTCGAACTCGTAAAAGAGAATCATTATTCCAAACTGCTTAGTTATTATGATGACTCAGGCGTATTAATATTCTGACGTAAGTAAAGAGGAATGAGCTGAAATCCCGCAGACCAGGATTGCTCATCTCTTCTACATAATATACAGGTACATTGCTGCCCTGCATCTCAAAGTATTAACCCCCTCACGGTTTGCCAGTGTAATGTATACTTCCAGAATAAATTGGTGTTCTTTCAGACTTGAGTGTATTTACTTACGGCAACTCTGGAGTTAACTCGTTCATCTATTTATTTTAGTACTTAAGAATTTGAAACCCTAACCTAACGTGTTGGATCACCACATGTCTTTATAAGACGTGGTATTGACTCCACGTGTATCTGGAATGTATCTGTATCATTGTTGGACCATTCCTTTATCTCTATCCTCTCCAATCCAGGTAGAGTTGACGGTAACAGACTATGACTCTTGATATGTCGTTCTAAGCCATCACATAGCTTTTTGATGGATTAGAGATCAAGGGAGGGTAAGGCCAGTGTAGATTGTAGACGTCTATCATGGCCATCCTTGAAGTATCTATCTTTATTTGGGTAAAAGTAGAGCATGGAAGGTACATCTGGTCAAGTAGGGGGATCCAACATTCACGAATAGAGACATGACCATTCACAGGAACCAGATCTATCCCACGCCATATATGATCCTGTTATTAAATTTACCCGCCACTTCACACACAATTGAATGTCTTTAATCCTAAATAAACCACTATATTTGCCTCTTTTGATAGCTGTCTCTTCCAACCGCACACTTCCTTATTAGACGAAGTTTTTAATCTGATAACAATACAGTATAGATTCAGTACACTGAGGTCGTTTATTTGTCAGTCAGCTTGACCGTCTTCGCAAATGAAACACCCACCAATTGACCCCCAAAATGAACACTTTATTCAACTTCATAAATCTTTCGTCTTTCACATTATAGCGACAAAAGATTCTCATACAATCTACTGTCTGTCTGTCTGATGTTTTTATTTTTCGAACAGGTAAATACTAACTTTGTTTAAACAACAAAGTATGATTGTTCTATTTTGTAGGTAGGAATGTCTAATATTTTGGTCCCCAAATTTATATAACTCAAGTCACGCATGCATGAAATATGTTTATATTTAAATAATTTAAGAGCATTTGCTGGAAAGAAACGTAAAATGTATAAACAGATAAAAGTAAAGAAAAACTAAAATTTGCTAGGGTGATTCACAGTCTTTATATCCATGGGCTCTTGTTTTATTTTTTCATACTGGTACGGTGGTTTCTTTCTATTAAACAGTTTGGTATATCCAGTTTTCCCCAAGAAACCTAAGGCTATGGAGTGTGGCCAATGCAAGACTATCAACTAGAGTCTCCTTTCAAAAGTATTAATAAAATTTATCTGAAACAGAATTAAACATAACGTTTAAAATGAGCTATAAAAACAGCAAAGTGGTTTTAGAAGCTGGAGTACGAGAGAGCGGATATTGAGTCTTGGAATGGTAGGTTAAAGAAATATTTATGTGTGCTTCAGAGACTTTGAAAAAACTTTTAACAGTATTAACCAAGAGAAGTTAATGGAAACCTTGCAGAAGATTTGGCTATATCAAGCAGATATAGGCATTCTAAATAATATATACTTGAAACAGGAAGCAGCAGTTTGGTGGAGAACTAAGCAGTTAGATTGCGGTTAACATGTGTGCTGACACCGACATTATATAATATGTATGCAGAGTGGTTGACAAGAGAGGTCATTATTGATAAAGGAGGGGTCAGTACATAGAATTTGTAATAGCAGTTATCCTGATAATAAAGTTCTCATGGACGAATATGAGGAAGAGATACATGAGTTACCTGACAGGATTGTTAATGAAGGTAAAGTCTATAGACTCGGAATAAATGTCCACAAAACTGAGACAGGTAATTTCACGATCTGGTGAAGCTCCCAAAATATGTATCAAAGTAAAGTTAAAGTGTTGAAACAAGTATTGGGGTTTACATATTTAACAATGGATATCAGTAGAGACGGCAAGTTTGAAAATAAAAAGATAAAGAAAAGGATAGGAATGGCAAAACCAACGTTCTTCAAACTCAAATAATTGCTCAGGAGAAATATCAAAGTAGAATTGGAGAAGAGACTACTAAAATGTTACCTGGTCAGTGGAAGCATTGACCCTGTGGGCCGTAAAAAAATGACAGTTGGATGCATTTAAATTTTGATGTTACAGACGAATGATGAAGATCAGCCACATAGAAAGAAACACTAACGGGGAAGTATTGAAATGTAAAAATAATTAAGAGAACTGCTAGCCATGTGTAGGAAACAGACGATGCGCTACTTTGGACATACAAGTAGATCCGAAGGAAGGTCGGTCGGCAGAGACTCGTCCCCTGGTGGGACAGCGGTAAGTTTTCGGATTTACATGGCTAGAATCAGGGGTTCGATTCCCCTCGGTGGACACAGCAGATAGCCCGATGTGGCTTTGCTATAAGAAAACGAACACACAGGCAGAGACTCACTTGCGTTGATGACATTAGAAAATATATTGAAGATGAGAAGATTGAATTAGTAAACATAGTGAGGAATAAGGAGCATTGGAGAACCATAGTCGCCAACCCTTAAAATAGGGGAGGACACTATGATTAACTCATATCCTTCTTCTGTTCCCAAATAAAACAAAACGAGTATTGCTTTAACTTTTGAAGCTGATCTAGAGGAAATCAAATCATTAATTGACACAGAATAAGGATAAAAGTATCTAGTTTTATTACATCTAATGTTTTTTAAAATAATTAGAAGTTGACAAAGTTTAGCTTGTGAAAACAGTTTAACCGAAGTTTTCATCAAAATTATGTTTCTCTCCTTAGCCGTTTCGTTAAAAGTTCATTTATGTCCATTAGGTTTAATGTGTTCTCTAAGTTAACTCTATGTTAACTACATTTGTGTAACTTATTTTTATTCTAGAAAACAAAATTTATTCAAATCAGAATCGATGTTAATTAAAATGAAACTGAACATTTTTCGAAAACATGGAAAAGGTCAAGTTTAAAACTACTTTAAAATACAATTTTCAATCAGCACATTTATTTTATACTATATATTTTTGATTAATCAAATCATTCCTTACCTGAAAAGGAAAACCACCAGATAGCGTCGCTACGAGACAGAACATAGAATATGTTATTAAAATGTGTTTCGTCATGTTTGTTCCTCACTCTTTTTTCTAACTATAACGTAACCAATAAAATCAAGATTTTGTCTTGTTGATTCGTTCTGCGACCACCTTTTATAAGTCATCTACTGCGCCGGAAGTTTCTAAAATACAAGACTTCTACGCAGGTGGGTACCAATTGGTGTAGCGTATTGCGCAAGTTGTAATAAATTCAACACATGCGAACAGCCGCATTACAAACCACAGGAAAGGATGTGGTAAGTGAAACCAGAGCTTGCTTAATGTCGTTTTTGTTTCCATAAGTTTTTTTTGTTGTTTTGTTTTTTAACTTTCTCATTGAAGTGTGGTTTGGAGCGATATATAATCCACGTCTAATTAAATGTAATAATGAAACCTTTCAAACTTAATAAAATATTCATTGATTTGTTTATTGAAGTAAAATTTAACATGAATAGAAATATTAATTATAATTTGTAACCTATCATTTTACATCTATGTAAGGTTTGATCTTAAAGTAATAGTATTTACTCGAAATTGAACTTCAAGTTATAATTAATACATTCGTAATTTACATTGTTGCTGTTTTTTATTTTACCAAGTTAATACTTTGTTGTAATTTTTTGTTTGAATCCACTTAGTTTTATTTCGAGTTAAAAGTGAGTTTTCGAACTATTACCGACTCTCACATTAGTAATGTCTTTAACACGTGTGTAGATGATAACTTTAGATAAGTGTCATGATAACTAGCCTAGTTCATAAAAATTCTAGCGACGTGTATAAAGGTTATGTTTCTGACTCACATTTAAAGAAATTCATTCTCTCTGATTTGTATCGTATAAGAACGATATTGTGCAAGCTCTGAACCAATGAACTAGATTAAAACCATAATACTCCCTTTTGATCTGACTTACTAATGATATTTCTATAAAACATGCTGTGAATGTGCTTTGTAGTCACTATGAGAAAAATCTATACACTGGATAAGTGAAGTGAAGAAAAAGTGTCACTGGCCACTATTCAGTTCTTCACATTATATAGCCGTACAATAGCAGATATAATAAGTAAACTTAGTATTCCGACAATTGTTTAATTTCGAAGTCTAAGTTCAAGGGAGGTCCAGTTTATTCTACACTTTGATCATCGTGTGTTGTTGGGTTATACTAGTTTTGAATTATTCTACTCCTCATCAGTAACCCTGATTACAAGTTAAACCAAAGAGAGATAATCTGGACCTATAGCATAGTGAAAAGTATCAAACATACTGTTGGTGTGAACGTGCTTTATAGTCACTGTGAGAAAAAATCTATACACTGTCATTGGCTACTATTCAGTTCTTCACATTATATAGCTGCACAATAGCTTCGTTTGTTTTGAATTCCGCGCAAAGCTACACGAGGGCTATCTGCGCTAGCCGTCTCTAATTTAACAGTGAAAGACTAGAGGGACGGCAGCTAGTCATCATCATCCACCGCCAACTCTTGGGCTACTCTTTTACCAACGAATAGTGGGATTGACCGTCACATTATAAAGCACCCACGGCTGAAAGTGCGAGCATGTTTGGTGGGACGTGGATTCGAACCAGCGACCCTCAGATTGCGATTCAAGCGCCCTAACCACCTGGCCATACCGGGACCCTGCACAATAGCAGATCTAATACAGTATTCCGATACAATTTCTTGATATCAGTATTTTATTATGGATTATTCAGGCGAGAAATTTTAACATCTGCACCTAAAGTTTATTGAATTCGGTATCCTTCTTACAGGTCCACCCGTTAAAAGTCCTTAGCTTTTCAATTATGTTATTTCTTAAAGTAGTTTATTTTTGTTGATAAGTGATTGTTTTTAATATTATTTTACAATGATTAATTCATTTTAACATGTAATTAACAACCTTATAGTTAATTCCAACAAACTCAATCAAGTCTCAATGTAAAGTATGAAAACAATTTTTGAATTGTTAACTGTATATATATATAATGTATACAAACTAATTTCAGAGAAATACACTGACAGTTCATAGTTAAACTAATTTGATAGCTAAGAATTTGTCATTTATTCAGTATGGTTTGTTTGTTTGTTTGTAATTAAGCACAAAGCTACACAATGGGCTATCTGTGCTCTGCCCACCACGGGTATCGAAACCCGGATTCTAGCGTTGTAAGTCCGCAGACATACCGCTGTGCCACTAGGGGCTATTCAGTATGAAAGAGAATCCCTATTACTTCGGGCCAGCATGGCTAAGTGGTTAGGGCGCGCGACTCGCGGGTTCAAATCCCTGTCCCATCAAACATGCTCGCACTTTCAGCCATGGGGGGCTTTATAATGTGACGGTGGATGATGATGACTAGCTGCCTTTCCTCTAGTTTTACACTGCTAAATTAGGGACGGCTAGCTCAGTATAACCCTCCTGTAGTTTTGCTACTTAGTAGTGGAGACAAGACAATGTATAGTTTGCTTAGATAAAGGCACTAACAGGGAATTCATAATGAACTTACTCATATACTTAAGAATGTACACTGTTTTGATAAAGATGTACACACAGATGTAGCTACCCTCGTGCGATATATCACGTACACTTAAAAATGTTTCTTTGAAATCATTAACGGTCCTCGACCCTTCCTCTAGAGGACAAATCCACAGCTGCAATAAAGAAATGAGGCCTATTAGCAGTATTAAAACATAAAATAATTTCCTACAAACACTCCGTAAAAGAATTCTGTATGACTTTAAAAGAGCTATTAAGCAATAAATAAATTTATCCAACAGTCGCTCAAACCATGATAACTGGATCGTTAAAAAGGTTTATCCTGAATCCTTATAATCAACGTTTATAATTGTTTCAAAATCACTTAAATAGTGTTACTCTAAAACCAGAAATACTGTATGCAACTTTTACCGTTCTGATCAATATCATAAAATGATATTTAATTATCAATAGCTGTAGTAAGCGAGAATTGTAAATAGCTGAATCAGCAGACAAATCTCAATGTGTTAAAAAAATCGCGTCATTATCCCATAGTTGGTAATGTTAGTTTCCACGAAACTATTTCGAATAGCTTAGGACTAATTACTCTATGCAGACTGTGCAACCGTTGGAAGAACATACATTCTCAGAATTAGGGATAGGGTTAATTTTTATCTTTCAACTTTGATCAAAGTTCTCTGATGAGCTCCAGTTTAAACAATGAACCTCAAAGTACCGAGGTGATTATGGTTAAAAGAAGGGTAGTTCAAAATAAATAATAGGTGTATTACAGTTCTATAATGAAAACTATTAGATAGCTATCCCGATATTTCCTCACTCTCCTGATAATCTTAAAATGCTGAAGTAACTGTAGACACGTCATTATCCTGATGAAACTAGGTTTGAGTATGTATTGAACAACAGTAAAACGTACAACGTTGGGTAACTATTTGACGCCCAAGATGACGTTGTATGAATATCAATTGGTCATGCAAAGTGATATTGAAGTCAGTGAGAAACTATAATGAAATAGGGTTCTTATGAATAAGAATAGCGATGAAATAACCATGGGAAACTTAAATTTTAGACTCTTTAACTGGGTTTATGAAATAGTGACAGATTGAGATTTCTAGAAGTCAAAGAAATAACCAGAGGTGATACTATTTTAGATTTATGTTAACCACTAATGAGAATAAGGTTTTATGAATTGAAACAGGGAAACATCTAGGAAATATTATCATTTGCATAATAATAATTTTACTACAGAAAATCCATTTTGTGGCCACGACACAAGATTTATCATTAGTGAATTGGGATAATAAGTTAAATGGTGAGGTGAGACATGTAGGAATTTTTTAAATAAATTACTTTTAATTCAATATATTGCTTACAATAGGAAAATATGGAATATCAAGTTTAATTGGGGTACTAAAGATACAACGTAGGAAATCAATGATAGATGCCATAAGTTTAAGAAGTTTAAATAAGCATGTTAGAAGAATAATAGAAATATAGGATAGCTTAGGACTTGGTTCAAAAAGTAATTATGAAATTCAGAAAGGCTTGGAAAAAACAGCTGACTCATAATGTAAAACTAATAGCAAAGATGTTTGTTTGAAGTATGTTAAAGATAGGTAAAGATATTGGAACCTTAAAGTATATTGATAGCAAAGTTTTTGTTGAAATATAAGATAGCAGATCTTTTAAACGTTCTCTTCTGCTTTTACAATAAAAGATGTGAGCAATATTTATAATCCTGAGCAACCTTCTGGAAATGTCTGAATTGTCCTAAATTATGTAGATATTAAACCCTTGGTGATAAGTAAAAAGACTGAAGATTAAAAATGCATAGAACACTAAAGCTAGACAAGTTTTTTCCCCAGGGTTTCAAAGAAGGTCAAAGATCAGATATGCAAGCCTCTTTCTTTCATTTTAGGTAGTTCAATAGACAGTGAGTAGATACCTGAGGATTGGATAGTTGCTTATGTTACAGTTCTTTGTAAAGGAGTTATCTTGTCATAGTCAGTTAGTCTTACTTCTGTAGTTGGAAAACGTCCAGAAATCTGATAAAAGTTGATGTTCAATTTAGTGAGATATGAGATCATAAATGGAATCCTAGATTCACCAGAGGTAAATTTTGACTTACGAATCATTCAATTTTTTCGAGAAAGTTATTTTTTTTGCCTGAACAATGAAAAGGGCGTGAATTGGTGTGCTTAGAGCTTCAAAAAGCATTTGATAAGATGCTACACAAAAAAAGCTAAGAAAATAACTTAAGTTTGGGTTGGGAAATGACTAGTTAATTGAATTGTAGAGTGGTTGGATGAGAGAAAGCGAACTATTGTTATTGAGTCCAGTCAAACTGGATCTTTATTATTATTATTATTAGTGTGCCTTAGGGGACAATATGAGGGTCTTTTTTTTTCTTCTTATTTGTATTAATGGTACTAGTGTGAGCATAATTAGTAAATTAGTAAATTTTGCTGATGGCATTAAACTCCAGGATTTTTATATCTGTATTGAGGATTAAACTCCAGGATGTTTATATCTGTATTGAGGATTAACTCCAGGATGTTTATATCTGTATTGAGGATTAAACTCCAGGATGTTTATATCTGTATTGAGGATTAAACTCCAGGATGTTTATATCTGTATTGAGGATTATGC